CAACTGGGCCACTCAGGTGCCCCTGATGGAATTCTTATTTTTCTGCCTAGTTCTAGAATTTTCCGTTTGTCTCATGAACTACAATTTTCTCATACAAAGAGAATAAATCCTCATATCATGTAAGAAAACAAATAGTTCCCAATCATATTTTCCTGTTATCTCAAAAAGAGGAGGCAATGTTCCACACTTTGCAGTGATATCTATAATAGCCATTCACCATCATCTGCCAAACCTCACCCATATACATACATGGTTGCACTCAAGGAACATGAAGGGAAATAAGAGCTTTTCTTGAGAAGAATGAGTTACGCTGCCACTTGGTTTGTTTTCTATCAGAAGCCTGGTAAAGCCTATTTGTCAAATAGGGCCATTCACCATTTGAAAGAGAGGAGCTGAGCCTAGGAGCAGGTATAATGAGAGGGCAACCTTGAATTTAAGGATTCATTCTTTAAGTTATCTATGCGTCCACTCAGTGAAAATGTACTGATGTACTCTGATCCAAGTACTGTATGGGGACCAGCTGTATTTGAAGAGTATATGTTGAATTCATTTATCCAATCAACAGATATTTGAGAACCTATTCACTGATTATCTAGGTCCCTGTTCTTACTGAGTATACTCAACAAGAATGTTTTATAGATCTCTTAAGTCACTTTATTCATAAAAACAGAGGGCATTCTAGCCTGCAGATATAAACCATTGAGGATAATTTCCCTTGTTTGTCAGCATATTTTATCCTCATTGATCATTCTTATTCTTAAAATATGTTGCTTATCACTGCTGAACATGTACCCAAGATTCTATTTTATCTACACGAAGTAATTACTTTGCCCTTGGGTGACCATTCACATTAATAATTTTTCTTAAATGATAATAAACAAATATGCAAATGTTGTCTAGAAGGTGTATTATTATAACAGGTTACACAGGAATGACAATCACAACCTATTTTTTTAAAAAAGGAAAGGTTATATGTGTTGTGTGTCTTTTGCCAAAAACATGTCTTTAAAAACTCCTAAGAAAACATACATTAAAGAATATTAGAGCACAGAAGCATGTTGAACAGTACAGATAACATATTGCCTTGTTTCAGAAACCCAATATACTAGAGACAAAGAAATTCCCTATCAAGGACTGGTATCCTCATACACCCGGAAGAGGTAAATATATGCCCCTCCTCAACTTTATTCTATTTTCAGAACTAAAATGAAAACAAGAGAGACACACTTTTGTGAATTTTTAGAACTATTATCAGATCTCCTGGAACTGCATACCAATCAAATAACAGCAAAACTTTCTGTAATGTGGTCCAGCTAATAAAGATGTTCTTTAAATCAAAATGTTAACCAGCTATAATTTTAAACATTTTTCTCAAAAAGTCCATTTAAGAACATTTCACCTTGACATGTTTCATGAACTGATACAGTACATAATACAAGATCTTATGTAGAGGATTTTTAAGTTGGCTGATAGTTGTTTGAGCAACGATTCAAGATTTAACCTAGAGCTCAATTTCACTGCCTTCCCTGCTCTTGGTATATTTTTGCCAGGGATAAAGCATTCCAGTCATTGTTCCTAATGGGCTGTCTGTTGCCAACTAAGAACTACTTAAGTTACCAGGTATCATCAGGGGAAATCTCTTTCAGAAAATCCTGGGAACTAAAAAGATGCACATGCTCAAATAGCTGGCATTTCTTAATCCAATTTCAGGAACATTTTAAGTGTTTATTTGAGGTTAGACAAAATAGTACATGATAGCTTTCCATTCTGCTGAATTCACAAATAACCATACTTCTAATTTCAGAGAAAACATCCATCTTGCCAGCAATTTTTATCCTAACCGCAAAACTTATGTCTTCCTTCTGATGAAACATTTGTGGCATTGTTACTACAATTAGAAAATTTAAAAGGTTAATTCTGATTATGAACATCAAGATTTTCGGCTGGCTCCATTTCTGTGTGCCAAAATATAATCATTTGTGATCATACATTATTCTCAAATTCCCAAGAGACTGTTGCCTCATTTTTTAAAAAATTTAAATGCTTCTTAAAATTTAGAAAAGATTATCTGGTGGGGGAGGATTAACTTGGTGTCCAAATCTATAAAATTATTTGTGTATTTATTTGGGTTTTAGATTTTACCCTTTATGAAGTATTCACTTTTATACAATACCTGCTGACCTCAGATGATGAGCACAGAATAAAATAGTAACAAGGTTTTTATAAGGTAATTTATAAAATTATATAAATAACTGTATTACAGATCCATAATATGCCAGGCACTGTCCTACGCACAACACACAATGGTGATTACACAGATACGGCACTGCCCTCTCTAAGTTTTACAGTTTATATTTTCTATAAGATTTTCTGCCTCATGCTTTGAAAAGACAGAAAGAGAACAGATCCGGAAAAGTTCGATACAAAACTTTGCCAAAATTTCATGATCTCAAATTCCTGATATTTCTTCTAGTAATCTGTATTTTTTCCCTGCTGACAAAGATGCATTTATGGTCAAATTGTAGAAATTTTACTTGTAGAAATTTACTTGTAGAAATTATGTATCAGGAGATACACAAACACTGGAATTCTTCCTCTGCATTCTACAAGGAATTCTATACTATATATTTGAGGAATGGCTTATCAGATGAATGTTTTATCACCAATCACATTTGCTATCAAAGGATGAGTCACCTGTCATATAAGGAAAGATATTTAGTTCCTATATGTCCAAGTAAGATTATTTAAGCCATTATGGAATGCAGTAAACAAAATGATAGACTTAATCATGTAACTAAGTTTCATCTGTAGTTTCACCTTTGAAAAGGTTAAAAAAAACAGAACAAAAAAACACATAAAAATATCTCATCTATAGCAATACTGGACACTGAAAAAATACATATATTTATTCTATCTCAAAACACCACATGGTTTATGTGCTGCTTAGTTTGAGATATCCATATTTTATCTTTCTGACCACTGCTGTGGATTAATTTCTCTTAAGGCTTGGAAAAATACAAATTCGTAACAGGAAACACTCAATTATTAGAGCAACTTACACATATCCTATTACCGCTTTCATCAAAACACATTCACAATAAAGCATCACCACTGGGAACACCATTCCATTTCCTCAGAGAAACCTGAAATACTATTAAACTCCTCATTTTTTATTCTCTCCATTTTTCTCACAATTTTGTATAGAAAATATCATATTAAAAACTGTTTGTTATACACACCTGAATGAAAAGCTAGTTTAATGGTAGAGGGTACAGTGGCAAAATTGAGATAGCGAAAGTGGACGCACTTCCCTGGGCAAACTCTCAGGGGTGCACACAAGGTGATATTGAACTGTTATTTGGCTTACCATTGACAGAATTCTAGAATTAATAGTAATCAAAATCAAAAACAAAAGCACACACATGCAACAACCCTGAACTACACAGGTAGTTAGTATTCAGAAAGCATGCCAAAAACACAACTTGTTTTATAAAACCACAAACTTTTCCCCAAGTGATTTTTTATATATTTTGATCGCATTTAAACAAACATACTTCACAAACAGTGCTACTAAATAATCGCTTAAAAAGCAGGAAGACTTTCTGTTGGCAAGAGAAGCCTTCTGGTATATTTTTTAATGCATTGACAGTAGGAAAATACAAACTTATTTTTAATAGCCATTACTAATATATATTTTTAAATAATCAGACATATTTCTTTGTTGTAACCTATAGTTTCACTAATTACCAGAAATGCCATATTTGTGACACATTACCAAATCATTAGCAAATAAAACTGGTTTAGAAAGTTTTGTAGTACTAATTATTGTTGCTTTAGTTTCTTCAGAAAACTTAATCAACTAAATCATGGATACATTTGGAATAAAAACAGGTAGATATTTAAGCTCAAAGTATGCAGCTTTACTTTAAAACTGTATCACTATATATTATCATGCAGACACCTTAAAATAATTGTATCATCTCCTACCATGTAATTGTATGCTTTTAAGTTTACCCTAAGTAAATTATGACAAGTACAAACACGCATGATGGAAAGAAGAGTTATTGAAAAGCCTTTATTCCAAAATAAATACATTTTAAAAGAGTAAAGCCCATGTCTAAAATGATCCTCAAATTGTTTTGGCATAAAAATGTAACATTTGAAGTGTTAATAAAATACTTAATAGGGCTGAAACACACATACTAACTCAATGAAAATCTGTGTGTGTGTGTGTGAGAGAGAGAGAGAGAGAGAGAGACAGAGACAGAGACAGAGACAGAGAGACAGAGAAAAACAAAGAGAGAAATACATTTTTTTACACATTTACACTATGGGCATTGCAGGCTTGAAATAGCAAAAAAATCAAGCCAAAGTAAAATTCTAATAATGCAGACAAAGGAGGACAGCTGACTGAATCCTCCTTTGGTGCCTACAACCACCTAAAGTTCCCAAAGATACTTGAAAGAATCAGTTCACAAAAAGTTTCTCTACAAAGTATTTTCACTTTGGGAACTTTCCAGGTTTCAGGAATGCCCCACTTAAAGGGGAGCCAAAGCATTGTTTCCGGATTGTATCTACAGCTGTGTTTTTCCTTCTAATTAGTGGCCAATAAATTCTAGTTCTATCTTCATCAAAAATTTAACCCTTCCTATAATATGCTAAAACTCTGAACCAAAATGAAACGTGCCTCCCCACTACTCTCAAATATGCCCCGCAACACAAAGAGAGATTCTGATGATGCTAGTTGTGGAACCAGGACTGGTCAAAGGGGGAACAAAAAGAATATATATGTTTTTTTGTTTTTTGTTTTTTTTTTTTTCAGTGATCCTTGAGGCCACTGAGATCCCCGTTACTGGAATAATAACCTCACCAGTTGAGTATAAATACAAAACCTTATTCCCTAGAGCTTTCCCCCCTAACAGTTTTCATCATAATCTAATTGCAACAAAACATAACACTTTCACACAGAAGCCCCCGAGGACACACACGCTGAACTTTACCTGTTTTTATGCCGAGTCTTCAGCAAATTTCTTCCAAAGGGAGCCATGGTCCCCCAGGCAAGCGAATAGCAAGGACCGTGTCTCAGAGTTATCTGGGGTGGGGTGTGGAGATATCTGGATTTCGAATTGGAGGGAGGAGGGCTGGAAGCTTCCTCTTCACCTCCTCAGACGGTCCTGGCTTTCAGCTCATTAGCAGCAGGCTCAGAGAGTTGCTGGTAGTTGTGCAATTGCTGCCTGACTTTGAACTGCTGGATTGTTGTGGCTGCTGCACCTTTGGAGACCTGCCCAGCTTCAGCCTCGAAGAAGGCGTTTGGAAGCAGGAAAAGAAAGAGAGAGAGGAGAGAGAGAGAGAGAGAGAGAGAGAGAGGAAGGGAGGGGGGCTCTATTGTGTTCTGTAGCTATTTGCAGACTTGTTAAACTTTAAGAACTGCCAACCCCACGGGCATGGTAATATCCATGGAATGGGAATTTCACTCCCTTGGGAAACCCCCCTCCCCCGCTTTCCACACCCAACCACACAAGGTGAACTGAACACATATAAAAGGATTAAAAGTAAATACCCCCACCTCCCAACCAGCTCCAGTCTGTGAGAAGTAATCTGATCGTAGCAAGCAAGAGTGGGGGCCAAGAACTTTCTGTCTACCGATTCGACACAAAATTCCCCTGCCCAGAGGAGGGGGGGGGGGGGGGGGGGGGGGGGGAGGGGGTTCAGGGCTCTAAAATGCGTGGAGGAGGAGCGAAGCCGGAGACTGGATCAAGGTGGACTCAGAGGAGCCCCCGAGTTCAAGATTCTAAGAGTTTCCCCCAACCCCACGCATCCACACTTTTCAAGTTCATTTTCCGAAAGTTGAAGGACCTAAAAGACCAAAGCGCTCCAGGGCTGATCACAGCACGGGCAGTCAGAACCAGACGGGATTTGGGGTGTTTACACCGACCCCTGCCGCATCTTTAACATTACTGAGATTTGGGGGCTGTGTGAGTTTGAAGGAAGAGCCAGCCAACTGTGTGCTCCTGCCTCTCAAGTAGTGAACTTGGAGGATTTCGTGGAACTTGAAGCGCGCAGTGATGGTCTAGCGGTGAGAGGAGGCATCACCTGTTCCCACGCGAAATCGAACCCACGACCCGCGCAACCTGGCAGAGCTGGGCGACTAGACGCGGGTGCGGGAGGCCAAGGTGCAGTGACCACCGAACTCCCTTGCTCCCGCCACGCCGCCGTGGGAAAGCGCCGTCCAGGGGCCAGGGCCCGCATAATTTCCCCAAGGACATGGACGCTAGGATTTCGGGGGCCCCCCACCAACTCCTTTCCTGCTGACCCTGGTCCGGCCCCATCACTTCCCCTCCTCCCACCAACGCCAGCTTGGCTTCCCAGGCTAGGGGAGGGAGCCAGGGAAAGGAAGTCTAAGGACGGTGGGTTCCTTCTGGCTCACACTTCAAGCTAGCGGATCTCTGGACCTTGGCAAAGTAGCAGGCATACACTTTCTTTGAATCCTCCTCACCCCCAACAACAGCAACCAAAAGTGATCTCAAATGTTTCTATAAGTTTTATATGCATTGATTTAGACAAGATTTCACAGAGCTCAAAAAAATCATTTCCCCCCCAATAGTTACTATCATAATTGCTCTCCAGTTCTCCATATTTTATATATTATATTTCTACATGTATATAAACACATATGCATTTTATATGACGTTATTTTATTTTAAATTTGTTATGTATTTTTTCTAATTGAACATAAATATTATATATAAATTCCAATTGTTATAAATTAGAAAACATTACAACAGCTAATCCCTCAATTCAATGACTTTCTCTTCTATTACTGGAAGAATGGATAATTTTAAGAAAATATACTCATCTTTTATTTTATTTTTTAAAGTTTATTCATTTTTGAGAGAGAGAGACAGAGCATGAGCAGGGGAGGGGCAGAAAGACACACACACACACACACACACACATACACAGAATCCAAAGCAGGCTCCAGGCTCTGAGCTATCAGCACAGAGGCCCAACTCACGAACCATGAGATCATGACCGGAGTTGAAGTTGGAGGCTTAACTGACTGACCCACCCAGGCACCCCAAAAATATACTCATCTTTTAAATGGATCTATGGTAGTGTTACCAGAGAAAGCCTTTAAACTACTAAAAGCAGAAATGATATGTTTTGTTTTATACATATATGTTACATACACACACAAACACACACACACACACTTTATATACAACATAATCTTGAGTATACGTTAGTTTCAGTTTTTTATTTTATTTTACAAACACATCACAAAAACAATGATTTTAACTATTATGGATGATTGTCCAGTTGTTCTAAATTGTTCAAAATATAATCCCCTAAAGCTATACTGTTTACTTATTAATATAATGATTAATATAGTTACTGATTAATATAATGATTGCAGTCAATTTACAAAGAATTTTGCATTTACAAATATCTCTGTGTTTCCTGTAGTTTCGGTTCTCCACCCTTATTAACATTACTTGTATATACAGTTTTCATTTTTCATTAAGAGAGTTTTAATGGAACAAGAGGAAACAACATTACATCTTTATTAGCATAATCTTATGTTGAGTTTCAAGTTAGCACAGATGAATCTCATTTAGGATGTTATTATTCCTCACATAAAATATTCTATTAATACTATTATGACAAATCCTTTGATGGGTAAGAATTAAACACAAAGTGTTAATGTCCTTTAGATATTAGAAGCTGAAAGGAATAGAAAACATGGGCACTAATACTTAGATGGAAAAATAAGCAAGTAACAAATTAGAAAAAATAATAAAATCATGTTCTAAAATATGAACTTTAGGGGCACTTGGGTGGCTCAGTCAGTTGAGTGTCCTGCTTCAGTTCAGGTCATGATCTCATGATCTCGTGGTTCATGGTTCGTGGGTTCAAACCCACACATTCACACATGGGCTAGATGCTGTCAGCCTGTCAGTGCCCAGCCTGCTTTGGATCCTCTGTCTCCCTCTCTCTGCCCCTCCCCCACTTGTGCTGTCCCCAAAATAAATACATATTAAAAAATAAAGTAAAATAAAATAAAATATCAACTTTATAAGTAATCAGATCTTATATGGATAGATTGAAATGAGGTCTTATTTTGCATCCACCAAATTGCATGATTTTTAAAATGATGAGGCCCAACTCTGTCAGTATGATGGTCAGAGTGGACTACTCCTCATGAGTAGTGCAGATAGCCCAATCCCTTGTAGAAATGAATTTGGCTATATGTATCAATAACCTTCAAAATATTCGAAGTCCTTTATCCAAGTTTAATATCATATGAATTTTTCCCAAGGAAATAATCATTTTCATAAAAAACCTTATGCTTATTCACATTCATTTGACAACCAAATGATATATTATTTACAAAATGTTGACACATAGTATTAGACAAAGTACTATTTTTTGTACATGGTAGAGAATAGTGTGAAAAATTATCTCAACTTGAAAATAAGGCAAATTAATGAAAGCGTATCCTTTCAGTGATATAGTGGAGCATTGTCTAAGAGTTCCTCCCAAAGATTCTGCAATTCTCTGGAATAACACATTTTTTTTAAACTCACTATTTACTATTGATTGGGCCCAGACTCTGTGAGATTAGGTGTTAAATTGCTTTGTTTTGTTTTTAAAGGTATATTGCAAATGAATTTCGTTCAGGTTATGGTTTTATTGCCCTATAGGATATCAACCAATTTAATTTTTTTTTAATGTTTATTTTTGAAAGAGAGACAAAGACAGAGCACTATTGGGGGGAGGGGCAAAGAGAGAAGGAGACAGAATCTGAAGCAGGCTCCAGGCTGTGAGCTGTCAGCACAGAGCCTGACATGGGGCTCGAACTTGTGAACTGAGAGATCACAACCTGAGGCAACCAACTTGCTCAACCAACTGAGCCACTCAGGTGCCTTGGACATCAACCAAATTTATACCCAACCTATTTTAATTTCAGCATATTTTTATTTTTATTCTTTAAATTTATTTATTTATTGTTGAGAGCAAGAGACCATGTGTGGAGGAGATGGGAAGAGGGAGAAAGAGAGAATCCCAAGTAGGCTCCATGCCCAGCAAGGACCCTTAGGCAGGGCTTGATCCCATGACCCTGGGATCATGACCTAAGTAAGCTGAAACCAAGAGTCAAATGCTCAATTGACTGAGCCACCCAGGCACCCCATACATTTCAGGTTTTTTTGAAAATTATGCTTTTAATAACTCTAAGCTTGCATCAGTTTTTTTTTCTGAACTAATATTAGTTTTCATAGAAGAAAGATGGTTACTTACCTCTGCAATCCCTACTTTTCTTAAAAGGTGTAATGTGTAAAAATGAGTTTTGATGGTAGAGAATAGAATAGTTAGAATGTCCTTGCACTCATCTATGAATATGAAGCTCAGGCAAAATAATGAGCTATTACCTTACATATTTAGATTAACATATGAAAAATCAACAATGGAAGATGGTACATTATATGTAACGAAAGAATGAATACTCTCCAATCAAAGGAAGATTATGTACTCTGTGGCTGAGTTGATATCAATAGCTAAACAGTATGAGAATATGTATTCTGATGGAAAACCTGTTTTGAAAGAGCAAAGAAAGAAAGAAACGAAGAAAGAAAATAAGTATGTCAACTCTTCGTCTAATAAACCCAGCTTCTCTTTGTATTAGAAAGTTTTTTTAATTGAATTTTTCCCCAGTTGTATAGAGATACAATTGGCATGCATCACTGTTTAAGTTTAAGGCATACAGCGGGATGGTTGGACTTATAGATATTGTGAAATAATTACCACAATAAGTCTAGTTACCATCCATCAACTCAATAGGTACAATAAGAAGAGAAAGCAAAAAAGAAAAATAAATATTTTTCCTTGTGATGAGAAGTTTGAGGAGTTACTCCCATAACAACTTTCATGTATATTATGCGGCAATGTTAACTAAGATCATCATGCTCTACTTTATATCCCTGGTACCTATTTATCTTGTAACTGGAAGTTTGTACCTCTTGACCACCTTTTTCCAATTCCCCCTTC